ATAAAAGACGAAGAAAAGCCTTACTTCCTTACACCCCCCTTCAGAAAGGCCTTCGCACAATAAGACCAGGTTTGTCCCTCCTGGGGTAAGCATCCAGTAGGACCATGTTGCAGCACCTGCCACAATTGTGATTCTTATTTATCTACTGTCTGTCCCCATGCTTGGCTACAAACACCAGGAGGGCATCCGCAGTGTCTGTCCGGTCCACTGCTGTACCTTCAGAGCTCAGAACAGGGCCAGCACAGAGCAGATGCTCAGTAAAAATATTGGATGGAAAAAAATAAAGGGAGCAAGAGAGGAAGGGAGAGGGCATGAGTGGTTAGGTTTTCAGAAGTTAGAAGCTGAGGATGTAACTGCTAATCTCTGCTTGTCTTCAACAGCCTCAAGAAGTATCAGCACATAACCTAAGCCACATGCATCTCTCGTGACTTAGAACATGTTCTTCCAGGTAGACACCACGTTCATCTCGCTCAGCCGTGCAGGCTAGGAACTGGTGCACTCCTCACATGACCCCTCTCCGCTGACATCTCTCAAAGCTGCCCCACCTGTTCAGGCTGGGGAGTGCCATTCAGGGTGGCTAAAAGCACAGAGGAAGAGCACAGTGGGGCCACCCCATGGCCAAGACCTCATGGGTACCAGGTGTTCTCGCTGCTGGATCCCAGGTTGCCCCTGTGCACAGTGGGCTGAAAAGGTCTGGAAATTAAAATGCCCCTGAGGATAGCTCTTAACCCATCATAAGGCTTAGGGGGATAGATAGCCCAGCTACCTGGCCCCATGGCTGGGATAACTCCAACGTGTATATTTGATGTCATTTCCTGAAGGTCCCCCCAAAGCATAAAACTCCAATTTCCCACTTGGGTAGCAGCTCTAATATTGCACCTCAAATTAGTTAACTTCCTTTTCCTGTACAATTTCCGACCTGCTGTCCCTATACCTTTAAGGTAAACCGCATGCCCTAATCCCCATCTTGGGGTCTACTTTGGGGGAGCCTGGTATGCCCTTCATCATGGTCAGCTCTTCTCAAAGGTGCCCAGTGGACTGCTGATGGCGAACCACCATGATTTGGTGCCCCCAAGCTGCTGTGGGGATGAGTGCTCCACAGGAATTTCAAGGGTCCCAGCCCTCCACCCCATACTCAGAGGCCTTGTCATGTTTTAGGCATTCAGAAAACACCAGACTCACACAGATCTGGCTGGCCCCCGTGGAGCAGCCAGAGCCTGGGCTTGGGCCCCATAAATCAATGCCTATGTCTCTGTAAAAGGAACAGCTCATGATCTGCGAAGTTCAAAGACCATTATTTTCTGCTGATCTTCCTTCATCCAAGAATGATTTCCCAAAACAATACCCTGGAGTTTAGTGCTGAGCAGCTGGGAACAGTTTCTTGTCTGCACATACAGATAAATACAGGTGACCTTCCTTTGTGATGGATTGGTCCTGAGGGCATTCGGATACATGGGAACATGAAAATGATGCTCGGTTTGTTGGGAGATGAATTCTCTTTCACACGGATTGTGAGTCTCTTTGCTTTACCTTTGCTAAAGGGTACACTGCTGGAACAAAAATAATAATCTCTGTATTAATACTATAGAGTCATTTTTTGAACATTAATATTGTGTTCTCAGCACTGGGTAAAGCACAATGTATCGTTTAATCTCCACATATCTTTCTCTAAGGTAGGTACTGTTATATTCTGCCCCCACTACGGACAAGGCTGTTGAGGCTTCTAGAAGGTTCAGCTTCTTGTCCAAGGTCTCATCTTGTGAAGGAGCTGAGTCAAGCATAAAACCCAGCTCTGGGCTACATTGTGTGTATAGGACCAGCTACATAATTTGCAGGGCTCAGTACAAAGTGAAAAGGTGGGGCCCTTTGTTCAACAATTATTAAGAGTTTCAAGATGGTAATAGCAGATCATTAACCCAAACACCAGGCACTTATGAGCATGAGGCTTGGTGACTGTCCAGGCCACATCCCACGAAGATGTCCCTGCTTACGTGGGCTCAGAAGAAAGTGATATGAGTGATAACAAAGGCTTCAATATTTGACCCTATTTAACCCTAGATCCTGAGCAAGAGATCCCATTATACTGAAGGTGATTCAGGGGCCTAGTTGTCTGATCAGAAGAGTTAATCATTTTCTGTCGGGACTTAAATCAGGTCATCTGAGAGAACTGCACAAATACTTCCCCACAGCTAGGCCTGCAAATAGTCCATGGAGCAAACCATGGGAGTGGGAGAGGAGATCGGGTGGGCTTCTTGTGGCTCAACCAAGTCCCAGGAACAAATGTGGGCTGATGTGCATGGATGTGGACTAGTCTGATCAGGAAGCCAGAGCAGGTCCGGCTAGAATTTGACCAGAGAATGGAGGCAGATGTGGCAGCATCTTATCAGCAGGACGAGGAACTATTCATCAAGTTTTGAAGCCAGAGGCAAGGACTCCACCAGCCGTGTAACTTTGGGCAAGTTCCCAAACCTCTTTGATGTTTGGTTTTCTCCCCTGTAAGATAAGGATGGTGGCAGCCACCTCTCAGGGTAGGAAGCGGTAGAGTGGATGGATGATGTGGCGACGTAAAGCTCCTAGCACATAGTAAGTGCTCGACTCAATGCCGCGATGGTCCGACGGCTGTTTTCACCATGAAATTGTGGGAAAGTTGAAGGAATACGTGACTTGAAGGTAGATTATATAGGTTAAATCCCAAACACTGTCCTCCATCTCTGAACTGAGAAAAGTCACTGAACGTTTTCCAGAGTCAGTGTCCCCCTCTGTAAAATGGGTGCTGTACAATGTCTACAACACGTGGGATTCTATGAGCCATACTTAAGCAGAGCATTATGGAAATAGGAGAGGCGATCGTTTTCATGGCCAGTGTTTGTTGTTATAACTTTTCATGGTTTCGGTTAGAGAAGGGCTTCTTTCCCAAATTCCCATTGTCCTTTCAAATGCTTCAGGAGCCATCTTGCCTACAACTCTTTTACAGGGTGCTAAGTAATATAAGTAGCTTTTCATCTAAAAGTTTTTTTGCAACATTTCCACATTCTTGACCCCAAATCTGACCAATTCTATTTCAATTCCTGCTCTATAGTCAAACTCAGAGGGTGCTTAAAAACAAAGCAATGAATCAGATCAAATTCTGCATAGCCAGAGGAAGCTACTCCATACAGACATCCCAGTGTTTATCTATTTTTATAGGATGATACCAATCATAAACGGACATTTGAGGTGGTTTGTGTTTTGCAGGAGAAGCATCTAACCCTCACTGAATAGCTTTGTGTTTTAAGAAATTCAATATGCATAAAAGATTCTATTTTTCTTCAAAAGTATGGCATGTATATAAAGCAATAAAACCCAAAATTCTTTCCTAAACTTTAAGGAAGGGCACTGTGGGAGGAAAATTGGACATCATCTCATCATATACACACATAATATACAGAGACATGTGCAGGTCACAGCCGCCTTGACTGTAACCACTGTCATTTACATTTAGAAGACTTTTCTAACCGATCCAAATTCTAGTCACTCGCGTACGGACGGGGCCCGGGTACCACAGATGGAAACCGGGAATGATTTTTCTGTTCTTCTCAAACTCCGGCCTCTTTAATGGCTTTCCCCATCAGTTCCCCTAACTTGTTATGCACATCAGCTTGTTTAAGAAGATTTCTGTAAACATCAAACTCAAATTCCAGGCTCTCTCTCGCTAGAAGCTATCTCTCCATCAAAAGCAGCCTACTGAGCGGAGCCCCGTGGACAGTCAGCCCTGAAGTGACCTGACCTACCTTCACCTGCCCTCTCTTCATCCCTCCAGCCTATTATTACTTCTCTGCCTCCACTGCTCCCCCAAACACCCTCCAGCACGGTGAATTCACTCTCATTTTTGCCGAATGTATTCAAAGTTGGGAAGGGATTGGGTCGCTCCTGCCCTTGAGGGATCTGGTGAAGCGCATGGAGACCCAGCTCCTTGAAGCCGAAGGGAGATTTTAGGCATCTTGCATGCAATTATTCACCTGGGAGTCTGGGAAGGTTACCATGACAATGCTTCCAGAGCCTCCTGTATCTACATGTCATTGATACATCCTATCAAGTCAGTGAAGGGGAAAAGAAAAACCAGTCAAAGCAGTTCTTAGGCTTCCATCTCTCATCTGATATCTGCCGAAGGACTATTTTCCTTATTTGTTTGGGCATAATCTAGATGCAGCAACAGTGTCACTGTTAACACAGTGTTTTATCACTCAAATATATTCTAAAGCTTCAAGTCAAAGTCTAGCCTAATAGGAATTTTTCTATTTCATTCTTCACATTCTCAAGCATTATACTTAGAAGTAACTTCTGCTGCTGGCCACAGAATACTTTAATTAGTATGTACTGGACCAAAGAAGAGAGCTCTAAATTCTAAAAGCTTCCCTGATAGAAGGGTTAAACAGAGGACAAAGATAGCAGGAGCTCTGCCATAACTTTGAGTGATTTCCATAACAGTAGGTACCCGTATTTCCAGAGAGAGAGATAAAATACTTTGCCTTTGGCCCTTTGACAAACTGCTTCTCCGTGCACATCTTCTAAGAAAAGGAAAAGAAAAGTTCTACCTGTTTTACCAAAATAGTTCTTATTGAATGGCAATTATGAAAAGAAATAACTGAGGATTTTGTAGTGGGAACCTTATTCTCATCAAAGCTCCACTCTAACACAAAGTTCAGCCTCGGGCCCTCAAAGGGCCCACGTGTAGATATTCACATGGTGCCCAGCATCAGCTGTGCGTTAGATACTTTGATGGCCATCATCCTTGGAGAATCATCATCAGAGACAATGGAAGATATTTTCATAGGTTGCAACACCCTGATCATGCTCTGTCCTTCAGCCTTCTAACTCTAGATTCTACCCAGGGAAGCGATACGTCCATGTTGATACATGCCAACAAGTTGAACAGCAATGAAACAGTCTCCCAAATCCCCAAAGAACATCATGTGTCACTTTCCAAGCCATTATGCCAATGACAAGCCAACTTGACATACCTGTTGGTGACCCCTCCATGACGTGGCCGACATAGGGGCCTTCCCGAAAGATTGGTCTGTTGTCATTCTGATCAATCACAATGACTTCCAGAGGCACCGGCCCCTCGAGAGTTTTGCCATTGACATCAGTGGTCTCCACAAATAGCTATTTGAGCAAAGAGATTGGGGGAGAAAGAAAGCATTCATTCGTTATGAAAATTGAAATCAGTTTCTCTGGAGAAAGTATTATGTCAGCAATTTTAGGAGCCCTTGGCAATATTCAAACTTTGGTCTCAATGGATAGTCACTGGGACTAGAATAGAAACTAAGCATTCCAGAATAAAAGGCAAAGATTGGTTCACATTAGATCCCCTTTGGGAAATTTATAATTAATTCATCAAATCTGTGAAGAAAGTAAAAAAAAAAACAAAAAACCAAAACACAATTTGCAATCAGCCATAGCTGAGAAAATGTGCTTACATTGTTTGTTTTTCCAATATCATAATGCTTAAAAATAATGTTATGCTAATAAAAATAATTGACTAAGCAGTTATGAACCAAGTACATTAAGAGATAACCAACAGTGTTTATGGTAATGCTTAGGAGAAATTCAGGTCAGGAAGTACTTGTAGAGGGCCTTACCTTAGCGAAAAACAGCATTTGCAGGGGCCTGCATGAGACCTGGGGATGTCTACCCACCAGGTCCTCTATATCTTTATAATCTCAGGGGATTTCACAGTTCTATATGGAACTACCTTCAGATCTCAATGAAGAAGGCACCATACAAAAACAGCTTTACTGTTTGTCCTGGGAACAAAGATTTATGCCATGGCATTTCCAGTGAATCACAGTGACCTTATATTCTCATTTTCTGTGCTTAATTCAGCTTTGATTTAACTCAGTGCTAACAGTAACACTTCTTCTTGGATATAAATGGTGATCTCTGCATAGGAGGTGATAGAATATTTTGGTCAGAAAAGAGCATCTGTATTTGGAATCTCAACACAACTCTTCACTGTCTGTGTGACCTTGAGCAAGACACTCAATATCTCAGTTTCCTCATCTGTAAAATGGGACTAATAACAACACCCCTTATTAGGAATAATAATAATAACCAACAATTATCTGGTGCTTACTTGGGCTCTATACTGCATTAACCTGACCCTTATAAGGACCCTACAAACCATTTCACAGAGGAGGAAATGGAAACAAATATAGGGTAAGTGGGGGATTTGAACTTCGGAAGTCTGCCTCCCGAGCTCACATTTCTAACCACTGAAGCACTTAATTTAAGGCCTGCCACATAATCTATCTCAAGAATGTTAGCTGCTGCTATTGTTGCTACTATTACTCTTATCAATACTATTGTTGAAACTCTCCCAAATTAGGAAAATGAAAGAGAAACACCTTTGTTACCAATCAGTACAGTCATATCCCTCTTGATGGTATGGTAAACTAGTATGATCCTTTTTGAAAGTCGCATGGAAAAATTGAACACAAACCATGCAAGACTTGTATATTTTATTTCATTTAGTTATTAGCACTTCTGATCCCATTTAAGTTGCACTACGTATATGAAAATATCTGCTGCAATGTTATTTCTAATAATAAAATTACACTGGCATCTCCCTAAATGTCCAGTGGAAGGGGACTAGTTAATAAATATTTGAGTCACAACATGTTAGAATACAGCCATTAAATAATTATTAAACCTGCTGATCTACTAGAATATTGAGTGAAAATACACAAAACACTGTGTGTATCATATCTGTGTAACATACAAATATGAACAGAATTTGAAGGCAGCAAGCAAAATGAAACTAAGTATGCATGGGTGGGGGATTTTTTTATTTCATTTTTCTTTAACATTATTTCATTTTTTTCACTATCAAATTCACAGACACACACATGGTTTCTAGGGGCAGATAAAATAATACAAGAAAAAGATTAAGAAAAAAATAAGCGGACAGAGCCTTCAGACATCTACATACAAAGGAGACTTTACAGAGAGTGTACTTTTATGCTTTTAAAAAAAAGCTATTATGAGAATACTGCTAACAAAGGAAATCAATCAAAATGAAGCTTTGAGGACAATTTCATGTAATAACAAAGGTCTAGCTTTTTGTCTTCCCCAAATAGCGAAGGACTTGACTTTAAATCAACCAAGAAACCTATGTCTAAGGATAACAAATCCTAAGTGTCTACAAGACTTGGCCAGTATCATAAGCCACAGGTAGGATAGAGAATCAGAAATCACATTTGCCAAATATACAAAGATGTTGATACTTGGAGGGGAAGATGCCAGCTCTGTCTCTGAAAAAACAGACCCTGAGGAGATACAATTGGTCAGGAGGAATGCAAAATGTTGAGCTGAATCTCCAAAAACCAATTATGCAAATAGACAACCTGATGATATTTTATGTTACAAAACTATTCAGAGTTTGACTCTCAGACTTTTTAGCAGAGAACAGTATAAACAGAAGCCTAGACTTTGGGAATGGTCTCTAAAAATAGCAAACTGCTGTTAAGTGGCATTTTCTCATTTTGAAGTTAATTTAATAAAAATTATTTGAGGACTCACTGCATGTCAGCCATTGTGCTGAACATTGGGTATACAGTGGTTAACAAAACAGACACTCTAGCCTGGATAGACAGGCACTATATGAAATAAATAAAAAAAAATATGAACAAGATGATTTCGGTTAGAGATTAGAGCTATGAAAAACATGAAATAGGTTTCTATACTACAGCTTCACTATCCAAAACTAGTAGCCCCAACCACATGTGGCTATCGAAATTTGAATCTCAGTTCTCCTGTCAAACCAAGCATGTGGCAAGTGCTGAATAACTGCATGTGGCTGGTGTATACCATATCAGACAACACAGATGGAGAACATTTCCATCACTGTAGAGATCCAGCGCTGGGCTGGAGTATGACTGAGAAAATGTGTGTGTGTGTTGGGGGGGCATGCACCTATTTGGGATAAAATGGCTAAGGAAATCTTATTGCCAAGAGAATATTTCAGCTGAGGCTTGAATGACAAGAAAACAGCCATGCAAAAATGCACTGAAAAAGAGCTCTGGATAGCAGGAATACGAGTGGAACTTGAGGTAGGAACAAAATGGTATTAATTTGGGAGCAGGGAATGGTTTAAGATCAAGTTAGAATTAGGGCTCCACTCAACTCCAGTGGAGTAAGTTAAGATTTATTTCCATACAAGATTCTTTGCATAGAAAAATTTGAGCCAGGTGAGGGGTGAAGACTTTTCTGTAAATTGCTGGGAAGGCAGAGATCAGGGAGGGGAAAGTATATCATGCTTGTTCCTATCAGAGGAAACATAGTAGACTGAATAAAACATATAATAGGAAATATTAGTGTTTTACTGAGGTGCATGAAATTTTAAAAAATCTTATTGACAATGTGGATAAAAATGAAGCATGTGCATGCAGAAGCTGTTAGTAAATACAGCCTTATCTACCCAATCAGTTACTATAAAGAAATCTGACATTCCTGTGAGTTTTCATAACTGTTCTCCTATGAAGGTCAGACCCACAATTAGCAAATGCCAAACTTTCTGAAGCGAGACATTTAAATTCCAGCGGGTACCTCTGGTATCAGAAAATAAATGTTCAATGATGTTCTCGCCTTCCTTCTTTCTTCCTAATTGAAATACCCCAAACACACAAATCCTTAGTTTGAAAAGACTGGAACAATGTTTGAATTACATGGTAGATTCAAGTGGCTGTGTTTGGGGCTCCAAAAACAAACAAGCTGGAATGTATTCACAGGGAGGCACTGTGACTCTTGTTCTTTATGTTTTAAGTGAGACGCCACTTAGTAGAAACCTACTGTGAGAAAAGGCAACACACTGGCAGAAGGCAATGGAATAATTGCTCAAAGGAAATGGAAACCACTCAGCCCCTCACTCACTGCCTATTTTTAGACCAGACTTGAGGACCTCTATTCTTAGTTTCAACTGTTGACTTACCTGGGAATGATGAGGTGCAACATATAAAAATGTCTACTGTGGAGCCAGAACTAGAGGGAACACTCAATACATTACAGCTAGAAACAGTTATCCAAGGTTGGAGTGTCTAATAACTTATTCCATTGCAGGCAGCCTGAACGCTGATCAATTATACGTTTGACCAACCTCTGTGTTGTGTGTTCTGGTACCTTTCTACTCAAAGTTCAGTTCTCACTCCAGCAGTGTTGGAGTCCCAAGGGAGCTGGTTAGAAATGCAGACTCTTGGGACCTGCCTAGAGCCTACTGAGGCATTTTAACACCATTTCCAGAAAATTCTGGTACGTATCACCATTTGAGCAATGCTGTACTGGGACACAGGGGTTGGAGATGGAAGTCCAAGGGCCTTGTAGAACTTGAGAATGGCATTCTCAGGTTCAGCAACAGCAAAATAAGCTCCAAACAGGAGGCTGAGGCTGGCCATCTGTTAGGAACTCCATGGTGTGGTGCTTGGACTCATTCATCACCCCCAAGCACACAGACTGGGCAGAGTAGATGTCTGTGGATCTGTCTGGAGAAGCCTTTTCATGTACATGCACACACACACACACACACACACACGCACATGCAGACACACCTACTTATATATATACCACACACAATAAAACAGATGCAGACACATGTATACACACCACACACACACACGTTTCCCATAAACATCAATTTTTCCAATCTTCTTCTAATCTTCAACTGTGCGTGATGAGCACTTAAAAAGCGTATTTTGTCTGATCACATTCTGAGAAGATATCAAATAGAAAACAGGTAGAAGAGAATTGCTTATTAATTGAAAAGTGAAGTGTTGCAGAAAACAAAGTAACATGGAGAGGCCCCAGAGACGGGAAAGTTCACAGAGAATGGTGCATGAGGGTTGGGGGCCCTGTGTCACCTGAGCCTTGGAGTGACTGTCGGATGCCAACACCACGGTGTTATTCTCTCCCATTGAGAAGGAATATCCCTGGGAGGGGTGACTCACTGTGCTTTATCATTAGAGGGGCTATGGATCATCTAGGGGGAACTTGTTAAAAATTTAGATTCTTTAAAAATTTACATTTAATCCAGTACTTGGAGAGATTCTGGTGCTAGTGGTTTCCTGCCCACTCTTTGGAAAGCTTGGCCCATTGCGTGAGGGGGACAGAGAGCC